GTACTCCATTGGTGATGCGCAGTACTCCATTGGTGATGTGTAGTACTCCATTGGTGATGCGCAGTACTCCATTGGTGATGCGTAGTACTCCATTGTGGGCATGTGCCGGGGTTTACTGATCCACTCGTCTATCGATTGACATTTAGGTTGTTTTCAGCTCTTTGCGATTGAATTGCGCCTCCATAAACATTGGAGCGCAGACAGCTAGTTGTGGTCTATTTCTTACCTCTTCTGGGGATATGCCCAGTTGAGGGATAGCTGGGTCCTAAGGTAGATCAATTTCCATTTGTTTTAGATATCACCAGATCTATTTCCACAGAGGCTGTACATCTCTATACGACCACCAGCAGTAGAGGAGAGTTCCTGTCTCTCCATATCCCCTCCAATATTTGTTGCTCTCGGAATTTCTGATTTGGGCTAACCTCAAGGGTGTTGGTGGTAGCTCATGGTAAACAGATCTGTCTTGGAAGAAGTATGACCAGAATGCTCCCTAGAGGCAAGGATGGTGAGATTTTGTCTTACATACTTAAGACCTGTTGTCAGGAGACACCTGTGCTTGGAGAAGGACATCATGCTTGGAGAAGGACATCGTGCTTGGGAAAGCCGTGGAGCAGGGACAAGGAGGAAGGCCTTCATCAAGATAGATCAGCACAGTGGCTACATTGATGGGCTCAAACATAAGGACACTTGTGAGGCTGCAGCAGGGCTGGGCAGCGTTTCCTGGTGTGGTGCACAGGTTCGCTCTGAGTCAGAGTAGACTTGATGGCCTCTAGCAGCAGCAATGGCACCATCTCCCTACGATTGACCTAGCGCTTTACTCGATGCTAGGGACTTCAAAGTCATCATTTCCTTTAAATGTCATCACTTTTATATCATCGAACCCACTTAACCGCTGGGAGAAACGGAAGCTCACAGACATGGAGCGCGTTTACCAAAGCCATGTAATTCGCTCCTGATGGACCCTGGATTCAAACTCGAATCCCAAGCTCTTACTCATTTGCTGTCATGAGATGATTTGTCATTAATATTTAACAGCGTGGGTGGTACTCTGAACAAATCATCGTCTATCATAGCGCTTATGCATCAGGATTTCAATGATACTAATATAAAAGAAAGACCATAGGTTCGAGTCGTCCACTTCGGAAGTATTAAATCAGAGTCTCTGAATGCAAGGTTCATAGACAGATATCTATTAAAAGTGAAAATTTCCTGGTGATTTTGATGCGTGCAGTTCAGTTCAGGTCTATAAGCCGCCCGCCATCTTCAAAAACACCACTCTAATGATTTTAATGTTTCTAGCACTGGCTGGACTGGACATTGTCTGGGTGAGTTCAAGGGCTCAGTGCTGCCACAGAGGACAGGGAGAGGGGAGACCAGTTGGGGAATTTCACTGGACAAATTCCTGTGCAAGGTGCACACACTGAGTTCAGGTGATTGTAAGAAGACAAGGTTAACCCAAAGGTGAGTCAAACGAAGGTCATGGCATCAAAGAGGCTGCTCCTCCAGGGGACTGTGGAAGAAAGAGAATATGAAATCTAAAAGGGAGAATAATTCAAACCAAGCCGGTGGTTAGAAACGCAGACAGTGAGAAAGTCAGGCTTTCTCATTAGTGTACTGCCAACTTTGTGACAGCCAGAAGTAAAAAGATCTAACGGCTTAAACACACCATTTATTGCTTCTGTAGGCAAGGAACCACAGCAGCTCTTTCAGGCTGATGAGTGGCTTTTCTTAGGAGGTGATTCAGGGGCCCAGCGCCCTTCCATGTTGTGGCTCAGCCGTACCCTGGGGCATCCATTCAGAGAAAGGAGATCAAGAACAATCACCTTTTTAGCCTTAGCTTTCTTGCCTTAGCCTTGTTGACATAGGCTAGGAGATGTTCACTATATACCCAAACCACACCCACTGCCTTAGACTTGATTCCTACTCACAACGATGAGGTTCTCTGGAAAAGCAAAACCAATCATGCTAGTGTGTGTATGGATATAGAAAGAGATTCCTACCAGAAATGTCTCACTCAGTTGTAGAAGAGGCTAAATTCAGTTCTGTTGAAGTTCAAGGGTCAGATGTAAACTGAAGGCTGCGGGGGGCTGAGTGGGAAGCAGGAGGATGAATTGGGAAGACCACAGGCTGGTGGATGCTGAACTGAATGAATCCGGGGTTGGCTCCTGGGACCAGAAAGACGATAAAACAGGAAGTCGACAAACCAGACACAAGTCCCAAATCCAGCTAGCTCCCACACACTGTCGATTTAGACTAAGAGTAGGGCATGCTCTCCATGCAAACGCCCTCAATCATATCAAGGCTGTGACCAGATTAAGGAGGTTCATTCTCCCCACAACTGCTTGGCTACTTTACAGAAGACCGAATCATGTGAGAATCTTGACCCATCCTACTCGACATAAAACCTGAGCACAATAACCCTATCTAGGGTTTCGGAAACTATAAATCTTTACAGGAGCAGACAGCCTCATCTTTCTCAATTATATACTACCTGTAACTGAAGGGGCACTAGAAAATTTAGTTTTAATCTCTATGTAGTCTCTTTCCACCAAAACGAAAAGATAATAGTATTTTGCTAACCAGCTATGTTCAGCTAGCCTCTGTCACATCCTATGAGAATCACCTCAAAATCTGTGTTCAGAGGAGAATCCTGTTGAATGCTCTTGGATAAGGCGCATTACTACTTTGAAATTAAATCTAGGTCCAACTTGTTGAGCAGTATAAGACAGGATGCCAGCAA